TTTGTATATATTTTATATACTTTATCATTAGAAATAAGCTCTGTAGATATAAAAGTTAAAGAAAATACTTGAATAAAATCGAGTATAATACTACTCCTTATACTTTTCAAGTTTATTTTGAATATCTTTACTCTCACTTCTAAACCTTTAGTTAGTCTTGAGAATAGTTTCAACTGTTTGGCAAACTTAGAATATTTTTTGTACAAAAAGTAAAGAATAAAGCTCATTACCTACTAAAGATCAGCATATATATCATTAATAAATTTAGAAGTAAACTTATGGTATGACAACAACAAATATATATGTATTTTGAAGTTAGTACAACAAATATGTGATTTTATTTTGCAATATAAACTATAAGTTTACTGCAATAATAATAAGCCATTATATGTTCGATAAAATAACCAAATCACTATTAAATATTAGAGATATTTGCAAATAAATACATTTTGTATTTATAATTTTTAACTACCTAATAGTGATAAAGACATTAACTAGAAAAGCTTATAAAGTATACTCAAAAACTACTAAGCAAAAAATGTATAAGTCTAAAAAGAAGCAAAGTACTAATATTTAGAATAAAATATCTGAACAAGCTATTACCAATACATAATATTTTCTTTCAAAGAAAATTAGATCTCTACAAAGGAAAAACCTGTATAGCATGCTGTATAACTAAAGAAATATATAATTATCTAACAGAATATATTATATATTAAAGAATTTAGAACTATATAAAAATAATAATCATAGAAGAAATCAGATACAAGATCTTAAAAAAATGTAATCTATCAATAACAAACAAAAATCTAACTAAGATTTTTTTAGAAGTTGTATCAGAAGAGAAAATTTTAAGAAAAAAGCTATACCTCTATAGTCTAACTAACAAAAAACATATCAAAGAAGTGAAAAATCTCTTAGTATCTAGTTTTAAAGCAAATTATATAGTAAACTAATTTATAAACTTCTTTTGGTCAAACTTTATAAAAAATTGTAAAAATTCTGTTATGAAATTATAACAGACTAGAAGAAAAAAAAATGAATTAATCTTCAAATAAAAAAGAGAAAACAAAGTAAAGAGAAAAGAAAGAGTATAGCAAACAAAGAAAATATTTTAGTCTCAAACTTTCAAAAAAAAGAAACATAATTGAATAAAGAGAAAAGAATACTTAGAACAGTGAATAACAAAGTTAAAAATTGAATCCAAAAAGAAGAGTATGAAAATTAGTTAAAATTTAAAAACAAGTAACTAAGCTTTTTTGATATAGCTAGTAGTAGCCTTCTTTTGATCAAAACTAAGTTTGTATACTTTAATATACACTTAATTCTAGAAGGAAACTTTTCTGCTGTAACAGATCATACTTGATTACCAAGTAAGTAGCTGAGTAAATTCAAAATTGCAAAGAAAAGAGTAGTCTTAAAATTAAATTAGTCTTAATTTTCTGTATTTGTTATAGTACTTAATTAGTATGTCTCTTAATAAAATAAAGAGCAAGATCATCTCAGTTAAAAAAATAATAATAATAATAATAATAATAATTAATCTAAGTATTTAGAAATAAGTATTTATAAATAGATATTAATATTCATAATTTTAATTTTACTAATTAATATTATAAATCATCTTGATACTTGCACACTATTTGAGGAATAGTCAAATAATTAATCATAAATAAGTAGGTAGGTTAGAAAAATGTCGCGGTCTCGTGATTAGATCATACGTTACATATAACATAATTTACGTATATAGGTATCATGTTATCAGTTACGTCATAATCTGTTATACCTTTTCAGGTTACGTCGGAAATGATCGGTGATCACGATATCGCGACATTTTTCTGCCATGACTAACCTAAGTGTTCAGAGATAGTATTTATGAATAAGTATTTGTATTCATGATTTTTAATTTTACTAATATAAATTAACCATCTTTCTACTTACACACTATTCAAAGAATATTAGATAATTAATCTAAGTGTCCAGAGATAAGTATTCATAAATAAATATTTGTTAATTCGACTGATTAATATTATAAATCATATTGATACTCACTATTCGAAGGATAGTTAGATAATTAATCATAAATAAGTATTCAAAGATAAGTATTCAAAGATAAGTATTCAAAGATAAGTATTCAAAGATAAGTATTCAAAGATAAGTATTCATGATTTTAATTTTACTAAGTAACGTTAATTAACCATCTTTATACTATTCAAAGAATATTAGATTAATCCAAGTGTCGCAGGATATTGAGTAATTAAAATAAAGAAATTAAGAAAAAAAAACTAGCTAGTTTTGGGATATTAAGCAAAAGTTTTCAGCACGTAATTTTGCACATATATAGCCTCCTAACCCTAACACGAATTCGAACCCTAACCCTAACCTCTAAAAGTTTATTTTTATTATATATTTAAAGAATATATATTTAAAGAATTGTAAAGTTAGTTTGACAAACTAAAAATTGTCAGTAATCATGATAACCATATATGAAGACAAAATTAAATCCAATAAAAGTTTAAAACCAGATATAAGTCTGTAATTAAAATACAAATAACAATTGTCCGAGGTAAGAAGGCAAATCAAAATAATCAAATTATCAAACTTCAAACCATTTTTAAAAATTTAAATCTATGATAAAAAAAACCTCTACATAAATGCTAGATAACCATACAAAGCTAATAATACATTCAAAAACAGAACCTAAATAAGATATATATACAATTCTAACACAATTAATTTCATAACATTCAAAATCTTAAAAATGTCCACTCCTAGACATAAACCTTTCCATATGTTGTCCACCTTCTTCTGATACGTGTTCGATTTCATCCATTTTTCTCCATTTCTTCCAAAAATTTTCTACTTTGTCGACTTCTTTATCATTCATTCTGTTTAATAAAAATGTGATAACACCCTTAAACTTCTTATCATACCTATCTGGAAAATGATGAAACAGCCAGTTCCGTCGTAAAGTAATGTCCGTAAGTAAATCTGGTGAGGATTTTTCACACACTATATCTTTAGTATAACATGCTAATGACGATTTAATATGAGAACGATAAAACCCTTTGTATAAATAATGTATAGTTCCAGGTATATATAACTTTTGGCTAGATGACTTTGATTTTAATGTTGTGCGATAAGAATCGATCGAAGTGAAAATTTTAAGAAATTTTTCAGTCGACTTTAACTATTTTAACAATGATTTATAATTCAAATAGATTAAATAATGTATATCAAGTATTTTTATTTAGCAAATTCAATGTTTACATACCTTTTTATATTCTTCATTCTTCAATTCACTAGCTGCAAACTTAACCAACTCTTTAAAATCCATTAAATTACCATAACTCAATCTCGGAATAATGTCGTTCTCATTCACAAAATTATAAATGAAATTTATGGCCTCAGGATTACATGCCAAATCATGTGAACAACACGGAGCAGTTGCGAAATTCCATGCACGAATATCAATTCCACCTGCAAGTAGATCTTTACATTTTTCTCGTAAAAGAAGAGTTACGATAGATGATATAGATGCACCTAATGAATGACCTATTATTTGTATGGAATCCGCATTAAATTTTATTACGGCAGCTCTAATGTCATCTAAGGAATGATCTACTAGATATTGGGCACTGCGTAGTACTCCACGATGAACAAAACCACCGTTCCATTGTTCATAGTGTGCTAGAGCATCAGTTATTACATCAATAACACTCTGCAAGAAAATTTGATTGGTAACAAATAAAATTTTATATAAAGAAATATATATATATGATATAAATTTACCATAGTTCCTCTGATAGATACAAGAATAGAATTTGTTTCTGGATCTCTAATTACCATGTAATTAGGTACCGCAACTGCATTTAGTCCATATTCCCAACAAATAATATCTTCTTTTTCAAGACCAAAAAAATCCTGTACAACTTTTTTGTCAGAATTCATTCTAAGAACATCTATAATAACATCAATGTATAATACGTTAAATAATAACCATAATAAATCAAGAAACGTCACAAAGATTAATAAAAATTATGTACTTAATGGACCAATATTATGACCATATCCAAACCAATGAAACAAGAAAGATCCCTATACAAATTAAAATTACAATTAATCCTTTTCCAAATAAATATATAAACTTATGATCAATGAACTTTAATATATACATATGATGCCATTGAAAATTTTAAGTATCTCTGAGCTTTTTTCATTCTATCCACATCTTGAATCAAATTCCCTGTAACTGGGCTATTAAATAAATAATGTATATAATGTAAATATATATAGATATCTATATATTAATGATCGATGACCTTTTTGAGATATTCTTTGATTCACTAAAAATCTTACTTTGGTTTTTGAGCATAATATTTTTCTAACAGCATATATGCTTCTAAAAACTCCAACTTGGACAGCATCCATCGGTTATCAAAAAACGAATTATAAAGAACTGTAATCTCCTTAATCGCATCCCTAGTCTCTTGACTTAATACCAAATCAAGTATACCAAGAGACCTTACTTCGGTATATGTCAGAATATTATTACATTCAAATTCAACTATGTCATTAACTTCAGTTGCTAGATTTCTATCGTTAAGAATTGGGGGTGTAGCTTTGTTTTGTATGGCTGATGGACGAGAATGCATCGGGGAAGTTAGGGGTGGGTCGTTAGGGAAATGGAATTTTATGCTTATTCTGATGGTACCAACTTCTTGAATATTTAATAATTCCTTAGTTTCAAGAGAAAAAGTTCTATGCGTATTATTACAATAATTGAATAATTTCAAGTTAATATAGTGAATTATTCAAAATAAACAAAACTTATATAAATAAAGGGTCACCCTTCAAATTCTTTTTGGTCGATAATAGCTTGTTTTAAAGCACTTAATTGTACAATAACACGTCCAAGTTTTTTATTTGTATTTAAGAAGAACCCATGATCATAAATATCAAACTTCATTGAATCAAAAACCAATGAATGATAATCAAATGGAAAAAGAAACATTTTTTCCAATTGTTCTTCAAGCGAGATACTCGGTTTGGTATTGTAAGTTACTGAACGGATGGCAAGACGAATTGATTTCTTAATATTGGGATTTGGTTGTCGTAATGGATTAAATTTCAATGATTTAATCTGGACAAGGATTTGGTCTGTTCAAATTAATAAGTGATAATAACCGATGTAAGTTTAATAGAAATTAACAAGTATAATAATTTTAAAGTTTAGCATATATATACCTGGAAAAGCATTTCCGGATACTTTACAAATATTTTAATTCGTTAAATTGGTTGCTGTATATTTATTTTGGGATTATTATGGGTTGAAGTTGAAATTGACTAAAGTAGAAATTTTGAGGGATCTATTTTGATATATAAAACCTACTAATACCCATTTATACTATTTTATTAACAATTCTAACTCTAAACATTTAACCCTGAATCTAAAAATCAAAACTAAAGAGAATTACCTCAAAATTTTTAAAATTTATATTAAAATAGGTTCAAATTTCTGCTTAGCCAATTTCAGCTTTACCATGTACTATTAAGTCATGAAGACAAAAAAAACATACATAATACATCTACGTTCGTTGACACCTGTCCTTCGATTTCTGTTATAAAATGTCTTAATATGTCATAGTAATTTTCTCTCTCTTTCTTTTTTTTTTTTTTTTTTAGAAATTTAGTATAAATACCTTGATTAAGTGCTGTATTAATTTCCGTTATTAAACTTACTTTTGATGAATGCCCATTCATGAAATATTTATATAATAATCATAAGATAAAATAATTAAAAATAATGATTCATTTTTTAATTAAGCAGAATATATTTACAGTTAGGCTTATTTTTGTTTGGTTCTTCAACGATAGCAGATTCATCAATTATTTCATTATCATTTTTAATATTTATTCCACTGCTCAAATCATCATTACTGGTGATATAAAAATTTTTGGTTTCTTTTTTGTGAACACTTTGCATTTTGAAAGGTTTTCCATCGAACAGATAAATCATGTATGATTTTATTGGGCTGAAATGATTGACATTGTCACCCTTTTCCTGTATTGCATGGAAGACCCCAAATTCCCGAGGCCATTTACAATCAATTTTAAGATCTTTATTCAAATTAAAGTGCCGGTTTCTATTTATAAGTATTTCACTTTTTACTCCAATAATTTGTCAAGCTATTTAACTTGAAGGTAGACCAATGTTTAAACATTTGTGTTCTAAAATACGACTCAATTAAATTGGATAAAAAATTCAGGGTAAAAATTTAGGTTTCACAATAATATAATCGCAAAAATCTTTGAAGTGAGTTCAAGACTCAAATAAGTATGGACTAGAAAAATACCATTTAGCACTTTACAATCATTTTTAAGATTTTTTATTCATACTTAAGTGCCAGTTTATATATATTTACTTTTTACTCTATATTGATATAATAATTTATCAAGATATTTTAATTTTGAAAATAGACTAATTGTTAATATTTGTTTTAAAAATAGATTGATAGTATCGGTGCCGCTCACTTCACCGACAGTCATTTCACCGAAAGTTCATTTAGCCGACATCACATGGGGTTAGGGTTAG